TAAACCACATAATTTGAAGCCTAGTTTCCCAGCTGATAACAACATTTTGGATTTCAAAAGAAAAATTCTTTGTTACTATGAAATAAAAGTGACTGATTCCTGTGAGGTTAAACTATATTTTGTAATATTGTCACTGTTTACCTAGGGGTGTTGATGTCAAATTGTTAATCTTTTCTTTGTCACTGAAAGGTGATTTCTGAGTTTCTGTGTGCCCAAATTTGTACAAAATTAGCAGATCCCAGGGAGTCATAAAGATATTAAAAATAAGTCTCTTATGACTGTCGGTTCAGATTCATAACAGCTGTGAAGGGTAGTTTCTTCTCTTCCTGGGACTGTGACTCTGGGAAGTGAGCCAAGAGTTAGCATTTCCAGAATAAAGCTGATCCAAGAGAGAAAAAGTTACATCTGTCCTGGAGGTGGGAGTGGGTTGGGATGTACACCGAGGTTTCATCAATTCCTGATAGACTGACAAAGCCAAAAAGCATAGCTTATCCCTGGTGCCTGTGTGCAAGTGCAGCCTTCTTTTACAAGTTTTCCCCAGTACTTTCCATTCTGCTTGTTTATTTGAACCTCTGCTTTATAAACATCACTATACGCAATAGGAACCAATCTTACAAGGGCGAGGAAGACTTGCTATCTGAATGACTATTGCGTCGTCCAGGGTTTGTGATTGTCGCCGTTGGGTGTTGGGGTCTTCCTGTGGTGGAGCGCATCTCAGCTCCCTCACTGTTTCCTCCTTGCCTTTGTAGACATGCAGCGAGAAGAGCACCAACCTGCATGACTATGGCATGCTGCTGCCCTGTGGCATCGACAAGTTCCGAGGGGTGGAGTTTGTATGCTGCCCTCTGGCTGAGGAAAGCGACAGCATCGATTCTGCTGATGCAGAGGAGGATGACTCTGATGTCTGGTGGGGGGGAGCAGACACAGACTATGCAGACGGCAGGTAAGATGGCCTTTCTGTTGGGTCTCATACAGGCTGAACCACCGCTCACTTGATGTTTATGTTATTAAACCAGAGCTTCTTTCCGTTGCTCACTGAGAGCTTTCCTAAAACTCTAACCTTGAAATGTTGTTGTGATTATAGAATGCTGTTTAATTTTAATGTGATTGGTAAACCATCAGGAAGTTAATTTTTCAGCATTTTACTGGTAAGAGTAGTGATCAAATATTACCCATATGGGACTCACTGGTAGAGCTACCAATGAGCTGAAATGTGATGTCAATGCTATGGCATTCTGTTTTGGTCTGTAATTGGGAAATACTTTTTAAACATTATTCTGGGAGGGTTTGGTCAGTCATTAAGTCAATGTGAATTTTCATTCTTTCATTCTGGAAGATTTGGTTTGGGATTTGTGTGTGTGTGTGTGTGTGTGTTTTGTGGAGGGGGTTGGTTGTTTTTTAGTGGATTTTCTTTTCTCTTTTATTGGCCTTTAATCATATTTTCTTCAATAAATGCTTAAGTTCCTTAACTACTTTCTTCATGGCTGCTGAGAAATATTTTTACCTCCTTTTCCTTAGGCTATTTTTTTTTTTTTTTTTTTTTTGAGACAGGGTCTCCCTATAGTCCTAAGTGACTTGGATTTCACTGTGTAGACCAGGCTGGCCTCCATCTCACAGAAATCCACCTGCCTCTGCCTCCCAGATGCTGGGATTAAACATGTGCTATACTCTGCCCAGCTTTTATTTTTATAACTTTTTTTAAAAATTTCTTTTCCCTAGGATCTTTCGTTGGTTTGATTTGAATTTTGAGACAGGGTCTCAGCTGGAACTCAGTATGCAGACCAAGCTGGCCTCAATCTCACAGAGATTCACCTGCCTCTGCCTCCTGAGTGCTGGGATTAAAAGGCATGCACCACCATGCCCAGCTCATTGGGATCTTAATCCTCTTTATTATCCTATTCCTATTTTCCACTTGAAGGTACATATCTGTATTCAAGTATGGTTATGAAACTAGAATCTGAGTTAGAAATGTGATCTGCTTCATTCATGGTTTTTCAAACTACATCATCCCCCACAATATAAGGATTGGACTTTCCTTCCTGGATCCTCTCAGATCATCCACATACTGCATACCTCACATTGAACATCAAATTCAAATCTCAAAACTTACAGTTCAGAGTTTTCTTTCTTCAGCCACAAAGTTTCTACATGTGTATGTGATCTTTTTTTTTTCTTTTTAAATTCATACAAGTTTAGCAATATGCAAGGACCCGTGTTCACTCAGGGAATCTGTGTTTTATCAGTTAATAGGATGAGGCTTCATTTTAGTGCCTGTTGCCTAATTTTAGCCAGACTCTCTTTTCGTTAGTTACAGTCTTTTGTGCTCCTGTTTTACTACCTTTTTTTTCAATTGCATTTGCTCTAGCCAGACATAAAGCTAAGGAAACAAGCAGCAGATTTTGCATTACTTCTCAGTGGTGGTAGGAGTTGAGAGTTGATGTCTAGTCAGTCCCTCCTATTCCCAGGCATGAAGAAGCCTTGGATGCAGGATTTGCTTTTCAAGTTTTGCCATGGAGTAAGTTAGAGGTTCCCTGTGGTGGCTGGTGTCCCACACCTCTGTTCCAAATGCCACACGTGTGGAATGGGTGTGGGTGTGGCTTAGTTGCCACTTTCTGCTAGTGAGTTGACCTAGTTCTTGTCCAGATTTGAAAGTGCCAGAGTGATTTTGAAACAGATTCGTGCTCACCCTGGTCTCTGACTATAGTGCAGATGTAGCCAATGTTAAAAGAGGAATCTTCAAATTACAAGACATTGTCTTTATTCATTTGTGTTTGGGTATATTTGATTGACTAATTTCTCATGACTGAACTGACTAGACTGGGTAAACCTGTAGAATGGTATTTAAACCAGGGAATTTCCATGGCTGATATTAAAGTTCTAAGGCACTAGATATGAATTTGTAGCCTATGTTGGGAACTTGGCATTCATAACACACAAGGGACTCTGTGTGTGTGTGTGTGTGTGTGTGTGTGCGTGTGTGTGTGTGCTTAAGGGGGGGGGCATGTGTGTATTTGCACACATGCAGGTAGAAGCGAGGGGGTGACATCCTGTGTCTTCCTCAATGTTCTCCACCTATTTTTTGAGACAGAGTCTCTCAATGAATCTGGAGCTCTCTACAGTTAGACTAACAGGAATCTTCCTTTCTAAGTCTGGGAATCTTCCTTTCTTTTCCACCTCCACAAAAGTGCAGTTACAGGCACACACTGGAGTACCCAGCTTTTTATGTGGATACTGGGGGTCCAAATGGCAGATCCTTAGGCTTGCGTGGCAAGCACTTGACCAACTGAGCCATCTCCCCACCTCCACAGGGACTTTTAAAACTTTTTCAGTCATTTTAGTCTTTTTTGAGAGCCCAGTTGGACTGGAATAAATTAAAAATGTTGTTAGACATGGTGGTGCATGCCTTTAATCCCAGCACTCAAGAGGCAGAGGGAGGTGGATCTCTGTGAGACCCAGGCCAGCCTAGTCTCCATAGAAAGTTCCAGGTGAGCTAGGGCTAAAGGGAGACCCTGTTTCAAAAAATATGTATTTTTCATTTTCTCTTGAGAGTACTCAGCCTTTGCCAAGCCTTCTCCATATAACACATTTTGTGTCTTGCAAGACCTTATTTTTATTGGGAATTGTTTTGCATGAGTCTTAGTCTTTTCATCCTTCAGTCTTCCTGACTCACTGACATTATTGCAGCCATTACTAATAATGTCTTAAGAAGCTGAAGTAATCAGTGGCCCTTTCTCTTACTACTGGAAATGGATCCAGACAGCAGGGTTTGCATTCTGACCTTGTTTAGTCATCAGGTAACTACGTTCTTTGATAGGCATCTCTGATTATACCACTCTTCTCTGTTCTCACTCTTAAAAAAACAACAGACTAAGGATGTTTGTTTTTCCTTTTGAATTTACTGCACTGCTACCTCCTAGGCAGGCAAACAGTTTATAAACCCGACAGAACACTAAGACTACAGTCATCAACTCAAGGACCCAGGCAAATTGAATCATATGATCACCCTGCCTATGACTGTCTTCAGTGATATCACAGTTCATGTTGGTGTCCAGTTGAAATGCCAGCTGTCTCCTTTCCAGTCGTCTGCATTTGCATTCCATTTGAGATACCACCTGCGTCTTCCCTTAGAGGTAGTGCATCCATAGCCTTTCCATCTCTTACTACGATCTGATCTTACACCTCAAACATTCAGCAGGTTGCTACATTTCAGCCTTCCCTCATGATGATCATCCTGACACATGCTTGACAAACTGCTGTCTTGCCCTGCGCCCCCATCTTTCTATCCAGCATGGAACCAACAGATAACCATTTTTACGTACCCTGCTGTACATCTGAAACCTACTGATAACCGCGCTTTCTATAAACATATTTGGTCAACTGTCAGTACTTGGGAAAATTAATTCTGTGATTGCTGCTGAATGTTGTAAGCTACTGTATCATGTAAACCTGTCTGTTCATTTCCTTCCTTATTCATGCTGTAACATCATCTAGGATGGACCGTAATGTTACTGAATGTACGTAATAATCCCCATTTGAGAGCCTATCACCTAACACATAGCAGGCAGTCCAAGCCAGCCCATTCTCCTTTGGTCCCCAGCCTCACCTTTCTTCCTGCTCTCCTGATGACCCCTTTATAGCCAACGATTCTGGCTGTGTGCACCAAGATATCTGGACTCACTGGGTACGTTTATCAAGTAAATGAACAGATTTCCCCACTACCTCACCATCTGTCATACCTTCCTTTATCCCTTTGTATGCCTTTCTTTTTGTGATTGTGTTCTGCCGGATTCCCAGGCCCTTCTTCTCCCTCTCTTGTCTTCAAAGTCTTATTGATTCCACTTGCTCTATCCACAAACCTGCTGTTTTTTGGTCACTTCCTGAATTCAGTTCCTCACTTATAACCTTCTAGACTAACTTCTTTGATTACCCTTGTTACATCTAAGTTCCCGTCACTTCCTGAATTCAGTTCCTCACTTATAACCTTCTAGACTAACTTCTTTGATTACCCTTGTTACATCTAAGTTCCCCCTCTCGTTCTCTTACCATTTTCCCCCCTTTTAGTGTTTTGGTCTGTCAGAATCCAGGATGCACTTTGTTTCTGGCATGCTTTGCAAACACGTCTTCAATAAATCTTAGCCAGATTGACTTGTATAGTTTAAATTTTCTTTCCTAGCTCTCAGCAGACTCTGTGCTCTGTAACTGGATGTTCTCTTTGATCTCCTCATATCTTAGCACATGTTGAAGGTGTCAACCTATTGACCAATATGAAAAAGTTATCAAGATAGTTAACATTCTCTTTGCTTGTTTGTTTCTTTTTTTTTTAGTTTTTATTTATTATTTTTATTTTATGTGTATGAGGTATTGCCTGCATGTATGTGAGTGCACCCCTGTTGTGCAATGCTGCGGAGGTCAGAAGAGGGCTTTGGATTCCCCTGGAACTGGAGTTAAGTTCGGTTTGTAGCCGCCATGTGAATGCTGGGAATCGAACCCAGGTCCTCTGCAAGAGCAGTCAGTGCTCTTAACCGCTGAGCCACCTCTCCAGCCTCTTGTTTGTTTCTTTTATATTAGGTCCTCATTATCCAACCCTGTTTTCTTTATTGATTTTGCAGTGCTAGGGACTGAACCCAGAACCTCATTCATATTAGGCAAAAGTTTTACTACTGAACTACTGAACCAGCCCTGTAGTGTGTATTTTAAAGCAGCATATTTTGATTCTAACTAACCATATTTCAAGTACACAACTACTGCATGCTAGATATTATAGATCTAGAGAACCTAACTTTTTTTTGGGGGGGGTGTCATTTGAGACAGATGGGTCTCCCTGTAGCCCCAACTGTCCTGAAACTCACTATATAAACAAGGCTGGCCTCCATCTCACAGAGATCCCCCTGCCTCTACCTACCCAGTGGTGGGATTAAAGTTGGGAGGTACCATACCTGGCAC